CCCCCGTGAATTTTCACCACTTCTGGCCCAGGTGCACCAAGGGCTGATCCATCCACGGCCGAAGGGTGAGGTGTTGCAAAAATGTGCTCCTGCGTTGGAGTCTGAACCTCATGAACAAAAGAACTTGTCCCCGCACTCTTGTTAGAGGTGTCCCTGGAGATGTTTTGAGAAATGTACTGCAAATGGTGTTGTGACCTTTCCCCTGCACAAATGTCCATTTGCTGAGTCCCCGCCGGTGCTGGGTTTGAGGCAGCGCGGCAAACCAAATGGGTGGTTGGTGCTCCTTCAAAATCGTCATCGGGGACCGGCACCTGGAGTCCCTGAAACCCTTGTGGCATGGTGTGCACGTTACCCATCCGACCCTGGAGGTGCTGTCTTGGCCGGGCTGTCTGTTTTCCTGCGCTTGGAGAGGTCACCATCCGTGTCATTGGGTCGCTTGAGGAGCCCATGAAGCTGTGTCTTCTGTTCATCCGATAGTGAGACTCCAAGATTGGCTACAAAGGTTTCCACTGCCGCAGGCAGTGTGTCGATGTCCATGCCGGAGTCCAAGTCTGCTTGCTTCGTCTCCTTGTTGACGGCCTTCATGTAGTCCTCGGATAACAGCTTAAGGGCTTGTTGTCCGTCATTGAGCTTTTGTTGAAGGTCCTGCATTTCTTGAAGAAGGGTTTGGTATTGGAGCTTGGTTTGATCAAGCTTCTCTTGTAGCTGAGTTTTCTTCGTAGAGAGGTTTTTGAGGTCAGTGACCTGTCCTTTCAACTTGATGGCAATATCCTGCTCTGAAGCCGGGGCTGGTGTCGTGAGGCGGGTTACCACCTCTTGGACCTGTGCCGGAAGTGCTGCCATGTGTGTTTTCAGCATCTCATGGAGATCGGGCTCTGGCGGTTTCTTGGGTCCGATGCCGAGGTGCTGGAGTTTGTCCTGTAGTTCATGGGACATGCCACTCCAGACTGGTTCAAGGAGGTCCGTGGCTTCCTTCTGGATTTTGGTTTTCTTCAAAGGCTTCAGCTTGCCAAGGCCGGGTGGTGTTTCCAGCCAGGAGGCTTGTTGTCTTGCTTCCGTTTTCGTGGGTCTGCCTTGACCTTTGCCCTTGCCCGTGCCACCCTGGATGACCGTGAGAGCTGGCCACCATGTGCCACATTGGCGGCATCTGGTGTCGGGCTTGAGCTTGTCCTGCCATATCCAGTTGGTGCACTGGCTTTGCCGGCAAGTGACATAGCTCCTGCACCATGAGGTAGCCCTGAAGGCCGTCATAGTCCAGGGTTCGAGACACCTCAAGGATGTGCTAGTAGAGCTTGAAGTAGGCAAAGATCGGATCACCAACCACAATCAGGCCCAGGAGAGTGTCAGAGCTGAAGTGCCAGTCACCTCCAGTTCCCCAAGGAGGTTGTGGCGAGATCAGCCAGGTGCCGAAGAGGTCAACAATAGCGGCCAAGGGGAAGAGCAAGATTGCGGGCAATGAATGTGTTGTAATCAGTGATGGCCGAGCTCGAGGTGATGGCAAACTCCCGGTTATGTTCGAAAGGGGAGTTCCACACTAGGTGGACTTGACGGGCTGCCACCTTGAGAGCTTAACGGCCTTGATGTATGTATGTATGTATGTATGTATGTATGTATGTATGTATGTATG